TAACTACAATAATACTACTACACTGAGTTTATAATACTTGATAGTTTAAACAAAATTATATACTGAACTTTTTGTAAGCTTACACGCATTACAAATGCTTGTATGACATTTTGATAATTAATACAATTTTGATTCTTCAATAATTATAGTAAACATGTGATAACATTTGGTGGGGGTTATTGATTTTTAAATGAAAATAGCTTTTTAAGAAAATCAAGGATATCCAAATCTTAATAAATCATATGATTTTAAAATCGAGTAAATAGATTTAAGAATCAAGAATGTTGATTTCAAAATGATTTTAATTTTTTTTTTGTTTTTTTTACTTTCGGGTTTATAATTGTTGTGTAATTCAGTTTTTCCTCGTTTTGGTTTGACTCTTGTTGCAGCCTTTTTATTTTATTTTAAGGAAAAAAGTTTCTCAGCTACACGAAGTTTACACTAATATGGTGGAAACCATCCAATGTATAAAAATGTGTCAAGAACTACACGAAGTATATGTTAATACATGCCACATGTACGAAGTAAATGATATTATGGTGGCAACATCACAATCGGATTTAATTGTTCTTAAGCTAAGTTTATGGGGCCAATCCGTAATTTATGAAACTTAATAAACTTAATTGATTTTAATTCTTAAAGTTAATAAAATTAATAAACTTAATAAACTTAATATTTTTTAAAACTTAATAAAATTAAGAAACTTAATATTTTTTGTTAAACTTAATAAATTGATTAAACTTAATAAAATTATTAAACTTAATAAAATTATTAAACTTCATAAACTTAATAAACTTAACTAACTTAATAACTTATAAACTTAATAAGTTATTAAACTTAATATACTTAACAAACTTAATGATTTATTAAGTTTAATACATCTTATTAAGTTTAATAAATCTTATTAAGTTTATAAATTTTATAAAGTTTTTAAATATTATTATGTTTAATAAGCTAGAATCCTAAAACTAATAAACAAAATAATTTAATAAATTTATTAAGTTTATTAAGTTTAATAATTTAATAAATTTATTAAATTATTATGTTTATTAAGTTTGCTAAGTATATTAAGTTTAATAAATTATTAAGTTTATAAGTTATTAAACTTAATATACTTAGCAAACTTAATAAACATAAGAATTTAATAAATTTATTAAATTATTAAACTTAATAAATTTATTAAATTATTTTGTTTATTAATTTTAGGATTCTAGCTTATTAGACATAATAATTTTTAAAAACTTTATAAACTTTATAAACTTTATAAACTTAATAAGATTTATTAAACTTAATAAGATGTATTAAACTTAATAAATCATTAAGTTTATTAAGTTTGTTAAGTATATTAAGTTTAATAACTTATTAAGTTTATAAGTCATTAAGTTTGTTAGGTTTATTAAGTTTATGAAGTTTAATAATTTTACTAAGTTTAATAAATTTATTGTTTAATAAATTTATTAAGTTTAACAAAAAAAAATTTATTAAGTTTATTAATTTTATTAAGTTTTAAAAAATATTATGTTTATTAAGTTTATTAATTTTATTAACTTTAATAATTAAAATCAATTAAGTTTATTAAGTTTCATAAATTACGAATTGACCCCATAAATTTAGCTTAAGAACAATTAAATCCGATTGTGATGTTGCCACCATAATATCATTTACTTCGTACATGTGGCATGTATTAACATATACTTCATGTAGTTCTTGACACATTTTTATACATTGGATGGTTTCCACCATATTAGTGTAAACTTCGTGTAGCTGAGAAACTTTTTTCCTTATTTTAAACTCTCATTTTACAGAAATATTTTGGAAATCAAGGATATTGATTTCAAAATGAACATAGATCTAATAATCAAGAATATTGATTTTAAAATCGAGTAAATAGATTTAAGAATCAAGGATATTTATTTAGATATTTCATATTTAGAGATATTAAAGTTGTCATCTATCTTGAAGAATAGGTTGAAAGTGAGAAGTTTTTTTTTTAAATTTACTGGACTAAAAATATTGATTAAAAATCATATCATTTGTAAAATCAATAAAAATTCAAATAAAATAAAAGATTTTTATAATTGGACCTAAAACACTTTCATCAAATGATAGAATGACAAGTATCATCTTTTACGTCTATGAAGAGAAAAAACTCTATTTTATTATATAAGAGATGTATAAATATAATAAATATAAAAATATCATTAAAAGAAGGTGACACATGGTATTTTTCCCCTCAAGGAATGAAAAAAACTAACTTTATTATATAAGATATTTATTTATTTTAGAAAAATTTTGAAATATTTTAAATATAGATATACTTAAATTAAGGATAAAAATATACTTGAAATAAATAGTTTTTAAATAAAATAAAAATTAAAACATCATTAAAGAAGGTGACACATGGCATTTTCCCCCTATGGAGAAAAAAATCCAACCTTATTATAAATTTTTATTTATTTTGGAAAAAAAATTTGAAATATTTTATAACTAATAAGTCATATATCACCATTAAAATATATATGTATAGATAGAATTAATAAAAAAATAAACTAAATATAAGTACATTTAAAAAAAATCACATTAACTTATATATCCTATGTTTATAATTAAATATATATATACACATATATATAATTATTTGTAAATTTTCTTTAAAATACAGAATTAAAAAACAAAAATGAAATAAAACGTTTTTTAATTAATGCTTAAATTTTCATTAGCATTTTTTGGCTCATTAAGTAAAATAAAATATTTTAACCATTTTAATATAATTTCAGCTAAAACAGAAAGATCTAAATTTTTTTAAAATTTATAGATTTAAATATAGTTATACTTAAATTAAAGATAAAATAATACTTGAAATAATTTGTTATTATATAAAATAAAAATTAAAACATCATTAAAGAAGTGACACATGGCATTTTTCCCCCCTATGGAGAAAAAAGCCAACTTTATTATTATAGATATCGAATATTGCAACCTAACCAATAAAATTATAGGATTATACAATCTTAATACTAGTTAAAATATAAATTATATATTTAAAATATTTGTGAGACAGAAAATTATATATTTATAATAAGAAAAATTATCCGCACCAACATTTGGCTCAAAATCTAGTACGCATTAAAATATAAAATCACACAATATGAAATGAAGAGAGTATTTTCTAAACATTTTGTTTCTAGAAAACATATTTTCTCTTAATTCTGTATATCAAGGAAGAACCATCTTACTGGAATACTAAAGTTATTAGACATTTTTATATAAATATTTTATTTATGAATTTAAATAAACTAAAAATAGAAATGGTAAAGTAAAAATAAACAAAATGAAAAAATAAATAAAAAATAATTATTTTTAATATTTATAGAAAAACTAAAAATAATATTTTAAGGAGTGTTTATAAACTACTAGTTGATAGATTGAATTTAATCAATGTCCACACTTTTTAAAGGGAATTTTGGTCAATCAACAAATATTTTTAATACGCACGCGGATGTAAATTACTGGAGAAATTTCCGAGAGAGTTTTTGTAAGTAATGGTGGGGCCTACATTGATTTCAAATTATTTTGGTGATGGGAAAGAAACATTCATTCTATTGTTGGTGGCTGCATTATTCTCTATCTGCTAAAGGAGCCAATGTTCTAACTTCCTCCAGTCCTTCTTGAAGCACACAAAGCTCTTCGATATTGATTGCTGCAATTGTATTCTTCACGGTATTGGGTAGTCTTGTTATCTTCTTTGCCTCACAATCAGATCCAACCCACAAAATAAATTAATGGCTTCTTTTTCTTCACCTCCTTCATATTCTTTGCTTCACAATAAGAAACACCATGTCTTCCCAAGCTTCCACGGGGCAGATGTCCGCACAAAATTCCTCAGCCATATTGTCAAAGAGTTCAAGAGCAAAGGAATCGACCTATTCACTGACAATGCTATAGAGAGAAGTAAGTCGATTGGTCCTGAGCACATAGAAGCTATCAGCGGATCGATGATTGCGCTTGTCTTGCTCTCGCAGAACTACGCTTCTTCAACGTGGTGCTTGAACGAGCTGGTGGAGATCATCATCAATTGCCAAACAGTGATACCCATTTTCTATGAAGTGGATCCAACTGATGTAAAGAAACAAACTGGGGATTTCGGGGAAGTCTTCAGAAAAACTTGTAAAGGTAAAACAACGGATGAGATCCGAAGATGGAAACAGGTTTTGGCGGAAGTTTCCGAAATCGCAGGTTACCACTCAAAAAACTGGTTCGTCTCCTCTTGATTCCCACTTGCTCTTAAACTGGTTTTGTATGTGCATGTGTTAAAAGTATGTATATCAAATAAGTGTTGCTTTCTTTCTTTGATCGACAGTTACAATTAGTATTTATCATATACAAGTATGAGAATATCCGTACAGTATTTGCAAATTTTTCATGATTATATAACAGAACTATTGGTCATCCCCTTGTTCAGGGAGACGGAAGCAGAGATGATTGAAGATATTGCCACTGATGTTTCTAACAAACTGAACCTTTCCGCACCTTCCAGTGATTTCGACGACTTAGTTGGGATGGAATCACATATGACAGAACTGGGACCATTGTTACGGCTAGATTCTTATGAGGTGAGAAAAATAGGGATTTGGGGTCCACCTGGGATTGGTAAGACCACCACTGCTAGATTATTATTTGACCGACACTTCCAAGATTTCCAACTAAGTGTCTTTATGGACAATATCAAAACAAGGTATGCAATACCACCTTATTCTGATGACTACAGTATGAAGTTGTCTTTACAGAAGCAGCTTCTGTCTCAACTACCGAAAGAGAAATGTGTCAAGGTTCAACATTTGGGAGTAGCCAAAGATAGGTTGAAAGACAAGAAAGTTCTTGTGGTCCTTGATGATGTGGATCATTTAGAACAACTGGAAGCCATGTCGAAAGAAACTAATTGGTTTGGTCCGGGGAGTCGGATTATTATCACATCACAAGATCAAAAGGTTTTACAAGAAAGTGGGATCGACCATATATACAAGGTGAATTTACCACGACACGATGAGGCTCTTCAAATGTTCTGCATGTATGCTTTTGGTCAGAAGTCTCCATATGATGGTTTTGAGAAGCTAGCTCAAGAAATTACAACACTTTCTGGTGGGTTACCTGTGGGGATAAGGTTTATGGGCTCCTATTTTCGGGGAAAGTCCAAGAAGGAGTGGGAAAATGAACTACCAAGGTTAAAGACTAGCGTTGACGGAGGGTTGGGGAGCATTCTAAAGTTCACTTACGATGCTTTATCTGGTCATGATAAAGAAATAGCTCACCATTATATATCCTCTTTACGCGATGTAAAGGGTCTCTCGGAAGCGAGGCAAGAACTTACCATCACAAACGAAGATTTGAAGGCACGTAAGACACGAGACCTTCATTGCATTTGCTTGTTTTTTTGCATATTTGAATTCATTGGATGACTAAACCATCCAACACTTGCTTCCTTAGGTCTTTCTTTAGGAAAATTTTAATACAAGTGAAATAGCTTTCAAAGGAATATCTTCCAATGTTACCACACACCGTCGTTTTCCACATGTTTAGTTCTGCTATCTAACCAATTTTCTTATGTGTACTAAATATATCAATGTGTTGTTCTTGTGTGCTTCTTTTCTTTGTCATTACAGCTGCTCAGAAATCTCAAGTGGATGGATTTGATTAGGTCAAGGGGTTTGAAAGAGCTTCCAGCCACTAATCTAAAAAGGTTGAATCTCAGCTATTGCTCAAGCCTGGGGAAACTCCCTCCTCCTGTTGAAAAGACAAGTATGCTTAAAAAACTGGATGTCGGTAGTTGCTCAAAGCTGGTGACATTTCCAAATTTAGAAGTAATATTCTTTTTTTTTTTTTTTGAAAATTACTCCCCAAGTTTGGCTATCTAACCAATTATTTATGTGTTTATTACTAATTGAATCAACTCGTTGTTCTTGTGTGCTTCTTTTATTTGTCACTACAGCTGGCCAAACTCAGCCAGTTGATTAATTTAAGGTTCACACACGTAGATTTCCATCCAACGAACTGGTTCGTCCTCTTAATCTATATATTTGTAGCTTTTGAACATATGCCATCCTGGATCGAATAACTGTCGCTTTATTTCTTTGATCTACAATTAGTATGAGAATATCCAAATAGTATTGACCATCCCCTTGTTTAGGTACACTAAAGCAGAGATGAATAAAGCTATTGCCACTGATATTTCGACCAAGTTGAACAATGCCGCACCATTTAGTGAATTCGAGGGCCTAGTTGGGATGGGAGATCATATAAAAAAGATGGAAGAGTTGTTACGTCTGGACTTAGATGAAGTACGGGTCATAGGAATTAGTGGTCTTCTTGGCAGTGGTAAGACAACCATCGCCAAATATATAAACCAACTTCTCGCTCATCAGTTCCAGTTAAGCACATTTATTAACATCAAAGGAGGCGATCCAATTTTTTTCCACGATGAGCACAAGGCGAAATTGCACTTGCAGACCCAATTGTTTTCTCAACTAATCAATGAAAAGGACACTGGGGAGAGTCTTCATTTGGGAGTTGCACAAGAAAGTTTTAAAGACAAGAAAGTGTTAGTCGTCCTTGAGGACGTGGATCAGTTTGGAGTAAGACAATTAGAAGTCTTGGTGAAAGAATTGCGGGGGTTTGGACCTGGAAGTAGGATTATCATAACATCACAAGACCGAAAGTTTTTAAAGGCGCAAGGGATCAAACATATTTACAAGGTGGGATTTCCAGCATCTGATGAGGCTCTTCAAATCTTTTGCATGTATGCTTTTGGTCAGAAGTCTCCATATGATGGGTTTGAGAAGCTTGCTCAAGAAATTACAACACTTTGTGGTGAGTTACCTGCGGGGATAAGGTTTATGGGCTCCTACTTTCGGGGAAAGTCCGAGGAAGAGTGGGAAAATGAACTACCAAGGTTAAAGACTAGCGTTGACGGAGGGTTGGAGAGCATTCTAAAGTTCACTTACGACGGTTTATCTGGTCATGATAAAGAAATCGCTCACCATTATATATCCTCTTTACGCGATGTTGAATTGACTGAGAAAATGGAAACGTTTTTACGTAAGGGCCTCTCGCAAGTGAGGCCAAAGCTTACCATCACAAACCAAGATGTCAAGGCACGAGCATTTCTCTTCATTATATTTTCCAGCATGTTTGAATTTTGTTTGATAATTCCATCTAACACTTGCTTTTCTGGTGTCATTCTTCAGGAAAATGTTAATACAAGTGAAAGAGCTTCCAGAGGAATGTCTTCTAATGGATTACTACCCACCGTACACATCTACTGCGCAGATACATTACAGTACTCTTTTGCCAGTCACCTCTCCTTGGATTTCCACCGGAAAGGCATTGTTGCGTCAGTACATTGCAATGAGTCCCTGGATGTGAAAGAGGGAGCTAGTGCTTCTGTGGTGGTTTTATCTAAGGATTATTTGTCCTCCCCCTCATGCCTAGACACGCTCGTGAGGGTTCTTCAGTGCCGGAGGAAACACGTCCAGCTGGTGGTTCCAGTGTTCTATGATTTTAGTCCATCAGATATGACCGTGCCTAAGCAAGAGTCAGATCATCGGATAGTAAATTGGACCAGTGCGCTCAAAGAGTTGAGAGAATCACCAGATATACAATCTAGGTAAATGTGTATATATTAATTTATTGTTTGCATTTTTATAAGAATATAAGTTTATGATGTTACCTATGAAATCCAACACTAAACAACAAAAAGTTGCACTAATCTGGATATATCTCTATAATATTATTTGAGAAGTCAGTTTCCTATGTGTCGCTCTCACATTCACTTTCCGATGGTTGATTACAGTGATACCCTTAATTAATTAAAAATATTAAAATAATATATTAATTCTTTTATTTAGTTTCCTTTTCAAAAATTTCCAAAAATATATGTAATAAAAACGAAATTTTTTCTAAAGTCAAAAAAACAAATTGAAAACGAAAAATATATGTAGATATAATATGATTTCATAAAAAGGAAAGTTCACAAAATAGTAATAATACATTTAAAACTATTTTAACTAACATAAAATATACTTTTAGAGTAATAAAAATAGTTTCTAATTAGTATTATTGATTTTTTTTCATATATTTAGTTGACTATAATATCTTTCAATTACAAAAAATTATCTATTAATTATATTTTACTTATATAATATTATTTTCAAATACAATAAACATCGCTTGATAAAATAATTAAAAATTAGTTTAATGAGTTAGATATATGATGGTTAAATTTTTATGTTTTTATGTTTGTGAAACTAAATATAACCATAATTAAAATACCAAAGAAAATCTGAATTCCCAATTTTAAGATTATTTAAAATAAACTTCAGTTTACATTCAATAAATCTAAAGCATAAAGTTATTTAAAATTTATAAATATTTTAATTATTGTAAATATTGATATATGTTCATGAGCTTCCAAAAAAAGTATCAACTACTTATGCATGTAACCTTCTATTGATCATAGGATAACTCAAAACATATTAACAAATGAAAAATAAATATTAACCAATTCTTACAATTTTAGTTCTTTTGCAAAATTTATATATATGCATGAGATTTTAGAATATTGTCGTTATATTAATTTACATATTTAGGAATCAGACACTTTAGTTAATTTTTAATTCATTCTAAGCACAATATATCTTAAGTTATACATAATTTTCCTAAAATATATTTACATATCTAAGACAACACCCACTATATGCAAATAAGTAATTAATTAAAAATTATTACAGTTGAATTCAGATATGCAATCTATTTTAACCAAATAATAACTAAATCAGCTGTAAAAACAACAAAATTGACTTGATATAACATATATAAAATGATAATATAATTATAGTTATATAATATTATTAATATAAATGATGCATTAAATCAAAAAATTAATTTAAAATTAAAACTATATAGTAATCTATTATTATCATATCTTTATTTTCAAAATATTTATATCCGTGCATGAGCACGGGAAAATCACCTAGTAACTAATAATGGTATTCACAAAAGTGAGGCAATTTTACCAAATTTTTTTTTGATCTTCAGTATTCATCAATGTTTTTTTTCCCAACAGTTCACGTTATAATAAATTACTAGATTTTGACCCACGCTTGAAAGCGCGGAAATTTTTATGATTGAAAATTTATATAATTGGGTTTTGTCTTAGTTTAAAAAATATTTTGATATAAAATCAGTTCACCAAAATTTGTGGTGAGGATTATTTTCATTAGTTTTTAGTTCCAGTTTTTTTTTTAAATTTTGGTTTTTGGTTTTTAGTTTTTAAGTTTCTACTTTTCATTTTCAGTTTTTGATTTGGATTTTTAATTTTTAAACCCGCTGAGTTAGTTTGAACTAATATTACCAACAAACAAATCTCAAATAATCGAATATCTAATTCAAAACTGAAAAGATGACAACAAATTTTTTTTAAAAAAAAATTGAAATAGTTCATTTTGTAAATAAACAAAGCAAAAAAATATAACATGTGTTTTCAGCTTTTGGTTTTGGATTTTAGTTTTTAGATTTGGTTTTTGGTTTTGCTTTACATTTTTTTAATCAGTAAATTATTTAAGAAAAAAAAATTATTTAAAAGTTACCATTGAAATTTATCAAAACAAAGTGATTGTTATTTAAAATAAAAAAATATATTAACATGTTTTAAATTACATGATTTAAATAAATGATTAATAATAGATAATTTTGTTTTGTTAAAAATATTAAATACCTTTTGGGTCTGAAAATAATAATTGATTTTTTGATCTTTTAAGGTGAAAAGTTTATTCAATGTTTTTAGAGTTTTTTTCTTAATACTAAGCCCAAAAACCAAACTATATAATTTGTTCAAAAAGTAAAAGTAAACCCAAGACTATATTGCATAAATAACCACTGGTTTAATTTAAGTATAATTAGTAAATTTCCATATTCCATATTTTGATGATATATATTATTTTAGAACATTCCATATTTGTAGGAGAAAATATGTGTTTTCAGTATACACATAGATACCTGCCATATTTTGAAGGTAATTTACATTAAGCTCGTATCTTTACATTAATTGTGTTGGTTTAATTTAAGTAATACGGTTCAATCAATTATATGACTTATATTATTTGTAACATTCTATAAAGGGTCTAAATTTAAATGACAATTTGTATCAATAGATAAAAAGAATGACTCTATTTTAATAGAGTAGATATTAATGCAAACAGGGAGGAATCTAGTGATTGTGAACTTGTGGAAGATATTGTCAAAGATGTGTATGAAAAACTCTTTCCCATGCAACAAATTGGAATTAACTCAAGGCTGGTGGAGATAAAACAGTTGCTTTGCAAGCAACCATGGAGTATCCGTCGCATAGGAATTTGGGGTATGCCTGGCATTGGCAAGACGACCCTTGCTAAAGCCTTCTTTGACCAGGTCTCTGGAGGCTATGAAGCTTCTTGTTTCATCACACACTTTGACAAAGCTTTCCACGAGAAGGGATTGTACAGGTTGTGGGATGAACATTTTGGGAAAATTTTGAAGAAAATTCCTCGTGTATGCAGTAGCATTACAAGACCTAACCTCCCCGGGGACGCATTAAGCAAGAAGAGAGTTCTTGTTGTTCTTGATGATGTGCAAAATCCTTTATTTGCCGAGTCTTTTCTCAGAGGGTTTCATTGGTTTGGCCCGGGAAGCCTAATCATCATAACCTCCAGAGATAAACGAGTTTTCCGCCTCTGTCAGATTAATCACGTGTACGAGGTTAGGAGCTTAAATAAGAATGAGTCTCTTCAGCTATTCTCACAGTGTGCATTTGGAAACAATATTAAAGAACAAAATTTCCTGGAACTATCAATGGAAGTGATTGACTATGCTAATGGAAATCCATTAGCCCTCAGCTTTTACGGCAGAGAGCTTAAGGGAAAGAAACTGTCAGAAATGGAGATCACATTCCGTAACTTGAAGATATGTACTCCAAGATTGATTCATGATTTACTCAAGAGCAGTTACGAAACACTTAATGACAACGAGAAGGAAATTTTTCTGGACATTGCTTGTTTCTTCAAGGGAGAAGATGTTGACTATGTGAAGCAACTGCTTGAGGGTTGTGGTCTCTTTCCACATGTTGGGATTGATGTTCTTGTGGAGAAGTGTCTGGTGACTATTTTAGAAAACAGAGTGAAAATGCATAGAATAATCAAAAGATTTGGCAAAGAAATAAACAACAAAGAAACAACATGGCTCAAGAGGGGTTGCAGGCTGTGGGGATTTTCTGCTGAAGAATTTCTACTTGAAGATGAAAAACTTGAAGAAAAGGGACATCTCAAAGCAACCTGTAAAAGATATCTGGTCTGTCATATTCTGATATTTTCATACAAAATAAATTTTGGATATGAAAGAACTTCTTGATTTATCTGGTTGACTTATCTTTCAGGTCGCTGAAGACATCAAAGCCATATCTCTGGATACAACGTTTTCTCGATTAGTTTTGAAACCCACTGCTTTTGAGAATTTGCTTAACCTTAGGTTCCTGAAGATTTCTTGTTACAGTAAGGAAAACAGTTACGGCGTCCACCTTCCAGAAGGACTCAACTCTCTGCCTGATGGGCTAAGACTCCTCCACTGGGAGAACTATCCTTTGCAATCCTTGCCACAAGGCTTTGATTCAGGCCACCTTGTTGAACTCAATATGCCTTTCAGTCAGCTTCAGAAACTTTGGAGAAGAACCAAGGTATTCATACTCATAATCGCTCTCGTACACCTATTCTCTTTTCAAATTTATACTATATCATTTTTCTTTTTCTTTCCAGAACCTCAACATGCTGAAGATTGTTAGGCTTAGTTGTTCCGAGCATCTGACTGAAGTTGAAGATATTTGTAAAGCTCAAAACATCGAGCTAATAGATCTCGCATGCTGTACGAAATTAAAGAGTTTTCCAGCCACGGATCAGTTACAACATCTCCGAGTTGTAAACCTCTCAGGTTGCACTGAGATCAAAAGTTTCCCAGAGTTTTCACCAAATATTGAGGAACTTAATCTCCAGGAAACTGGCATAAGAGAATTACAAATATCAACTGGAAAAGCCAACAATCTCAAGACATTAAATCTTAGTGGATGTTCAAGTTTGGTGCAGCTCCCCTCCTCCATTGGAGATGCCACCAATCTCAAGAAATTATATCTTGCTGGATGTTCAAGTCTGATGCTGCTCCCCTCCTCTATTGGTAAAGAATCAAAACTCGAAATACTGGATCTCAGTAATTGTTCAAGTTTAATAGAGCTTCCTTCTTCAATCGGAAATGCCACTAATCTTGAGTGTTTGAATCTGGAATACTGCTCAAGTTTGGTGAAACTCCCTTCCTCCCTTGGAAATGCCACTAAACTCAAGAAATTGTGTCTTCGTGGATGTTCGGCTCTTGTGAAGCTTCCATCTTCCATAGGGAATGCCATTAGTCTTCAAGATTTGAATCTTGAGTATTGTTCAAGCTTGGTGGAGCTCCCCTCATCGTTTGCAAACGCCAATAATCTCAAGAAATTATATCTGACTGGATGCTCAAGTTTGGATGAGCTCCCTTCCTCCATTAGGAATTCAACTAGTCTCATATCTATAGATCTCAATGATGACAACAGCCTGCCTATTGTTACTGTTAGCGACAACTCAGGATCCAGGTGTATTGAGGTTAGGCGCGCAAAGGGAGGGAATTTCTACGTCCTCGAGGGTGAACAACAGGATGAAGGCTTTCTGTACTTGAGTTTTCTTTTATATGAGAATGGTTAGTTCAGCTTCTGTTAAATATCCGTTACTTGTTTTTTTTTTCTTCACATTTTGAAGCTCAGTTTCTGTTTCTTATTGCAGAACTTCCAAGGATTTCTGTTTTCCCCTTCTATCAAAATGACGACACTACTTATAAGGCGTCCAGTGAGATTGTTGAGGAACTCCAGTTAACTGATCTTCACGTAACCACCTTTATAGCCGAACTTATTGATATAGTACTTGTTAACTTGATACCTGACTGGAAAGCCGATGTTCCAGTAGATTATCTCATCCATTCACACCTGAATCAGAATTTGACAAGTCATCGGAACAAAGGTATGACCCAGAGAGAAGAGGAGAGCGTTTTTCAAGATACTATGTCGGTTAGTCGTTTATCGTGGAACTCAGAATCCACACGATTAGAAGAGGTAAGTAAGCATTGTGTTGATGAGACTGAAGAAAAAGAGGGGAGCTCAAGTCAAGAAGCAAACGAACCAGTAAGCTTGGAGGAAGAAGAGAGATTAAGACAGGAAATGGAGAACGAGATAGAAGCTAAGTATCAGGAAGAAATGGAAGAGATAGAGAGGAAAAGAGAACAAGCCATAATGGAGATGAGGAAAAAGTTGTCTCAAGGAAAAAAGAGAAAAAGTTGAGTACGTACAGAAAAAAAAAAAAAAAAACACACATTGAACAACAAGGAATTCACTGGTTTCTTTTTCTTTTCTGTGTTAATTTGTTGGTTGAAGAAGTCTCCACTCTCTGGAATAAGATTTTTCTCTTTTGTTATCAAGATTATGATTTGGACGAATGTTTAAAGACAAAAACATAACGATAATAGAAAACCATATTTAGTGGATAAAGCTTTTGGATTATCTAATAGGAGATCTAAATGGTAATAATTCAAGTTAAGTTAGGACTATTGGACCTGGTGGATGTCACTAATCTCGGACTATTGGACCTCAGTAATTGCTGGAAGTGCTACTAATCTCCCTGGAACTGAATCTCAAATTCTGTCCATGAAAGTAGCAGCTGAATTCAGCAAAGCTAAACACATGGAATATGCAGGCAGCGAGATTAATCTGTGTTCATATCTATGCTTCAATTACATTTTTGTTTCTGTCACTAATTTGATATTCCATATAACTGTTTGAAGTAATAAGATTTCCTCGGCTAATACATCTCTCAAAACAACTAAATCTTTCGTAACGCACACGCTTTCTCAATCTGTTTCTGTTTTAAGCTTGAAAAGCTGAAGTAGTTTTAACGTCAAAGAGACAGTTTCTCTCAAACGTTGACAAATTATATAGTACGTTTGGATATTAGTTAAGTGAGTCGATACTGCTTCAAAAACCTGACTGAATGTTTACAGAAAACAGTCCGATAATGAAGTATGCAATAACCGTGTTCGAATGCAAAATGAAACTGGAAACGAAACCAATAACAAACACATTCAAAAACCAATAAAAAGACATAGATTCTACTTGATCATGTTAGGTCTCGAAGAACACTGTAGACAAATTTAAGGTTTCAAAACAAAATCTTAAACAGAATCCAAAAACACTGAGCAATTTCATCCTCAAGCCTCGTCTCCTTATTCTTGTTTGGAAGCAAGAGCAGCAGCTTGACCTCTGAGACGACCAGTCCTCCTTGCAGCAATAAGACCAACCTTTTGCCCAGGAGGTGCGTCACGACGAACAGTACTAGCGTGACCAATATGTTGATGGTTACCTCCTCCATGAGGATGCTCAACAGGGTTCATAGCCACACCACGAACCTTAGGCCAGCAGTTTCTCTTCACACGGTACTTGTGGTACGCGTTACCCGCCTTTAGCATCGGCTTCTCAGTCCTTCCACCACCAGCAACTTGTCCAATCATAGCCCTGCAACCACTTGGAACAACCTTCTTCGAACCAGATGGCAACTTAACCCTGTCAAAACCAATGCAACAAATTGTTATTATAAGAACGAAGCTACTCCATTAAAACACTACAACATTAAATCACACCAAAACACACTAAAACATACTAAAACATTTAAACACACACTAAAACATTCAAACACATTAGCACAAACTAAAACACTAACACGCACTAACACAATAATAACACACACTTAACACACGAAAACAAAATAAAACATACTAAACACAAAATAAAACATACTAAACACAACCTAAAACAAATAAACATACTAAAACACACTAAAACTAAACACTAAAACACTTAAACATTAATCACTAAACAATAAACACTAAACCATGAAGGCATATATCAAAGCAAAAAGACATAACATTTCAATAAGACAAAACCAAACCTAGTGGTATCGTTGTCGGGATTGTGAGCAATAACGATAGCGTAATCACCAGACGCTCTAGCAAACACACCACGATCACCAACATGATGCTCGACGTTACAGACAACAGCTCCTTCAGGGATAGATCTAAGAGGAAGCACATTTCCGACAACGAGAGTAGCTTTCTTACCGCAGTAAAGAAACTGCCCCGTGTACATACCCTCGGCGGCGACAAAGAGCTCCTTCTGCTTCTTGTAACGGAAAGGATGACGGAACGCAACACGAGCTAACGGAGCTCCACGTCCTGGATCGTGGATGATCTCCGTGACGACTCCCTTGAGGTATCCATTTCTTTCGCCGAAGTCGAGGCTTCTGAATTTGGCGGGACCCTTGCGGTGGTGTGTGTGGGATTTGAAGACGGAACCTGCTCCCTTACGTTGTGCTCTGATGACACGACCCATTGTGGATGGATGGTTGTGTTCTTGAGTTTACGGCGGGAGTAAGGAAAGTAGGGTTGAAGAGTTGTGAGGGAGTGAAAATCAGGTTTTATATGTGGAAATGTCTTACAAAGCCCTAGTGGGATAAGATGGGGTTATCTTAAATGGGCCTAATGTAAGCCTATTTAAAGCCTAACCCATCAAAAAACAAGAAGTAGACCATGATAGGCTTTGGCATATTAACAGGACCTATATCTCCACTATTTCTGAATTAAACCAAGTTAAATATTTTAATTTGAGATCAAAACATTTCCATCAGTTTCCAATTTTTCATGTCTTAATAAATTCAGGAAAATATGAGTTTGTAGTTAACCTAATTAGAGTCAGCAGTATAAAATAAGGTGTTCCAAAAATGTTCCAAAAGCGACATATCGAATTAAATAACATATCAAATCTCATATTTCAGATCATTTATTCACCCTTAGATCAAATAAGGTGTTCCAAAAGAGACCTTGTTTGAAAACATTGAGATTTAATATAATGTTCTTTGAGACTGTTCACTTTCAACTAGAATATATGTCTTCAGTTTTCAACCTTTGATTCTATAATTTTTTTTTGTTTGGTTATTGGTTTCGATTTCAGTATCATTTTCCATGATGCAAGTAAGTTCTTTTGTTTCAATCTTGGGAAAATATTGTTTACTTCATAATTCGACTGTCTTCCTTATGTTTCAATGACCATTTTTAGATCACTCAAAAGAGTTTCCACTCATTTTTACTTCCGCTTTTTCCTCATCTCCATAATGGCTTCTTCTCTTTTCCTCTTTAACTCTTTCATTTCTTCCTCATACTCAGCTTCTATCTCCTCCATTATCTCTTCTTCCTCCAAGCTTACTGCTTCGTTTGCTTCTTGACTTGAGTTCCCCTCTTTTTCTTCAATCTCATCAACACAATGCCCACCTTCCTCTTTTATTCGTGAGGAATCTGAGGTCCCCGAGTGACTAACCGATGCATAATCACGAAAAACACTCTCCTCCTCTCCTCTCTGAGTCTTAGCTTCACTCTGATGACTCCTTGACTTCTGATTCAGTTGTGAATGGATGATATGATCGACTGTGACTTGGGTTTTCCAGGTGGGTATCAAGTTGACAAGTAATATATCAATCAGTTCGGCTATAAACGTGACGTGAAGGTCAGTTAACTTCCTTGCTGGACACCTTATAAGCACTGTCGTTACTCTGATTGAAGGAGAAACAAGAGGTGATCATTTCACGTCCTGCAATGACAAACATAAGTTAAGCTTCAAAACGTGAGAAAACGAACGGATATTTAACAGGAGACGAACTAAAAAAATACTCACCATTCTCATTTACAAGGCGAAAAATTAAAGACACCGAGTGTTCATCCTTTTGTTCACCCTCCAGTACGTAGAAATTCCCTCCCTTTGCACCCCTAACCTCAATACACCTGGATCCTAAGTTGTCACTAACAGTAACAATCGGCGGGCTATTGTCATCGTTGAGATCTATAGATATGAGACTAGTTGAATTCCTAATGGAGGAAGGGAGCTCATCCAAACTTGAGCATCCAGTCAGATATAACTTCTTGAGATGAGTGGCATTGCGTAACGATGAGGGGAGCTTCACCAAGCTTGAACAATACTCGAGATTCAACTCTTGAAGATTAATAGCATTCCCTATAGAAAAGGGGAGCTTCACAAGACCCGAACATCCACGAAGACACAATTTCTTGAGATTAGTGGCATTTCCAAAGGAGTAAGGGAGTTTCACTAAACTTGAGCAGTATTCTAGGTTCAAGATCTCAAGATTAGTAGCATTTCCGATAGAAGCAGGAAGCTCCATCAGTCTTGAGCAAAAACTGAGATCCAATATTTCAAGATTAGATGCATTCCCAATAGAGGAGGGGAGCTGCACCAAACTAGAGCATTTAGTTAGATATAAGCTCTTGAGATTAGTAGCATTGCTTATGGAGGAGGGGAGCTCCACCAGACTTGCACACTCAGTAAGATATAATGTCTTGAGCTTAGTGGCATTTTTCCCAATGGATATCTGTAACTTTCTTATGGCAGTTCCATGGAGATTAAGTTCCTCAATATTTGGTGAAAACTCCGGGAAACTTTTGATCGCAGTGCAACCTGAGAGGTTTACAACTCGGAGATGTTGTAACTGATCTGTGGCTGGAAAACGCTGCAATTTTGTACAGCCTTGGAGATCTATTAGCTCGACATATGGAGCTCTAGAAATATCGTCAATTTCAGTCAACTTCTTGGAATGACAAAGCCTGACCATCTTCAACATCTCGAGGTTCTGAACAGAAAATAAAATTGATATATTATTAAATTTGAAAAATGTTTTACGAGAGCAGCGGATAGGAGTTAGCTTACCTTAGTTCCTCTCCAAAGTTTCTGAAGCTTACTGTAAGGCATATTGAGTTCAACGAGGTGGCCAGGGTCGAATTCTTGTGGCAAGGTCTGCAAAGGATAGTTCTCCCAGTGGAGAAGTCTTAGCCCACAAGGCAACAATAAACCTTGAGGAACAATAAATCCAGAATTGCTTTCATAATTGCAACAATGAATCTTGAGGAACCTAAGGTTAAGCATATTTTGAAAAGCACAAGGTTTAACATCAAAGAGCATATTCGCCGTATCCAGACATATGGCTTTGATGTCTTCACTGACCTGAAATATAAGCCAAGCAGATAAATCAATAAGTCGTTTCATATCCAAAAAAAAAATATTTAGTATGAAAATCTCAGAATATGTCAGACCAGAGTTCCTTTACAAATTGCGTTGGGATGATGTCTATATGCTTCAGGTTTTTCATCTTCAAGTAGAAATTTGATGCAACAAGGTTTCCACAGCCTGCGACTCCTTGGGATCCCTATTGTTTCTCTGTTGTTTATTTCTCTGCCAAAGTTTTGGATAATTTTATGCATTTCAACTCTGTTTTCTGAAATAGTCACCAGACACTTCTCCACAAGAACATCAATCCCAACATGTGGAAAAAGACCACATCCCTCAAGCAGTTGCTTCACATTGTCAACATCTTCTCCCTTGAAGAAACAAGCAATGTCCAAAAAAATTTCCTTCTCATTGTCATCAAGTGTTTCGTAGCTGCTCATGAGTAAATCATGAAACATATTTGGATTTTGTAGCTTGAAGTTTCGGAATGTGGTCTTCACTTCTGACAGATTCTTCCCCTTAAGTTTTCCGCCATAAAAGCTGAGGGCTAATGGATTTCCATTAGCATAGTCAAGCATTTCCTTTTGTCGCTCCGATAGATTTTCTTCTTCTATATCTTTTCCAAATGCACACTGAGAGAATAGCCGCAGAGCCTCATTCTTATTTAAGCTCCTAACCTCATACACGTGACTAATCTGACAAAGGCGGAAAACTCTTTTATCTCTTGAGGTTATGATGATTAGGCTTCCTGGACCAAACCAATGAAACCCTTCGAGAAAAGACTCGGCTACTAATGGATTCTGCACGTCATCAAGAACAACCAGAGTTCTCTTCTTGCTTATGTTTCCCCCTGGGAGGTTAGGTCTTGTATCCTTCAAAATTTTCCCAAAATGTTCATCCCACAACCGGTACAATCCCTTCTCGTGGAAAGCTTTGTCAAAGTGTGTGATGAAACAAGAAGCTTCATAGCCTCCAGAGACCTGGTCAAAGAAGGCTTTAGCAAGTGTCGTCTTGCCAATGCCAGGCATACCCCAAATACCAATGCGACGGATACCCCATGGTTGCTTGCAAAGCAACTGTTTTATCTCCACCAGCCTTGAGTTAATTCCAATTTGTTGCATGGGGAAGAGTTTCTCATACACACATTTGACAATCTCTTCCACAAGTTCGCAATCACTAGATTCCTCCCTGTTTACATTAATCCAAAAATCATAAACTGAACTGCTGGAAAAAAACTTTAATGAATACTGAAGATCAAATTTTTTTTTTTTTTTTTTTTGTCAAAATTGCCTCACATTTCCTTTTGTGAATACCACTTTTTGTTTGTTGTGGTTTGGATTTGATAGGTAAAATAATAAACTTATATTCTTCAAAAAAATGACTAATCTATACACAATTACCTAGAGTGTATGCCTGGTAATTTTCTCAACTCTTGGAGCGCACTAGTCCAATCTCTTATCCGATCATCTGACTCTTGCTCCTGTACCACCGCATCTGATGGACTAATACCATGGAACACTGGAACCACCAGCTGGACGTGTTTCCTCCGGCACTGAAGAACCCTCACGAGCTTGTCCAGGCATGAGGGGGAGGACAAATAATCGTTAGATAAAACCACCACAAAAGCGCTAGCTCCCTTTATCACATCCAGGGATTCATTGCAATTTACTGATGCATCAATGCCTTTCCGGTGGAAATCCTCCGAGAGGTGGCTGGCAAAAGAATACTGCAATGTTTCTGCGCAGTAGATGTAGACAGTGTGAAGTAGTCCCTTTGAAGATGTTCCTTTGGAAACTCTTTCACTTTTACTAACACTAGTACCCGGCAACATCTGAAGTTGCTGGTGGCTAGCTACCGCGGAGGAAGAAGAAAAAGAAGCCGACAGAGGAGGAAGAGTAGGACGCTTTGGCTTCTTCTTCTTCTTCTCGTAGCTAACACCTCTAGCTTTGCTCTGCATATCTCTAACCTCCCTTAGATAAAGTCTAACGTCACGTGCTCCAAATGGATTAGTCTCGGGTTGGCCTCCGTTCTCTTCAAAAGCAGTTCGAAGACGACCGATGAGAGCGTCCAGACTTCCCCAAGCTTGCCGGAGAGGACAAGGACACGGTAACGGAGGATTAGGATGCCCGTAGAAGTGACAAACCGTCGTGTGGACTTTTGTCTTACCGAACTGGTCCAGGTAACGGAGAAACTCCAGCACGTCGGCTCCGCTGCATCGGGAAAGCGAAACCGGTGGGCGTTGGTTCCTTAAGTACTGTAGGAACGTGTTCCAGTCTCTTCTCTTCTGGTTCTCGTAACGGCTTGAGTTCGCCGATGGAGGAGAGGAAGACGGTGGTTGTGTTGGGGTGGCTCCGGAGGAGGAGGAGGAGGAGATGTTTGTGGTACCTGCGTAAGCAGAAGAGCCTTCCATGAGTTGAGGAACCATATCCATTTTTGAACAGATGATCGATGTTGTATAGGATCTTGCACGGATTTTTTTTTTTTTTTTAATTTCTTGATCTTTCTTTGGTTGATGCGAAGAAGCTCAAAGTCTTGTCTCCTTGTAAAGTTATATATCATGCGTATTATAATAAGGGAAATTGGGTAGAATAACCAAAAAATAAAGCATAATTAATTATCTAACCAAAAAATAAAATGTCTCCATTATTAGTATAATATATACTATATTACCCCTATCATTCGGTACTGTTTTCTTTTACAGCCACTTCTTCTTTTACCAACCATTATTGTCTTAGTCTTTAACTATTTTCTTCTACGTTTATCGACCACCACCACCACCGCAATCTTTAACTATCACCACCGCAACCTTCAATTAATAACCAAATACATATTATTCACTTTATCACATGTATTTACCCTTGCTTCCTTCCTATGAACCATTACCTATTCAATCATCATCACTTCTTCTGTAACTCGTTACCTTAATCATCATGACTTCTTCCAAAACTACATCCATCACTTAACCACTAACAGCATAGCCTCTACAACCACAATCACCACCAAATCTATAAGTTATGATATATATTTTGTATCAACCTCTGAAAAATCCTCATAACCACCGTCACTACAATTTTAAAAATTTGCCTATACTATTTTTTATTTTGGACATATAGTATAGTACTAATGTCAGAATGTACTATATGTATATTTTGATATTTTCGTTTAGGATTTATATTTTTTTTAGGATTTAGAGATTAGTGTTTTGGATTTAGTTTATGGAAGGTTTGAGTCGATGTTGAGATAGACATTACCTCGTTTACTGAGATCGTAGACATACAATATATACTATGTTATTGCGTTTGTTACTATTCTATTTTGATCTTGCTTCAAATTATATACTATGTGCATATTTTGATATTTAGGTTATGGTTTATATTTTCTTTTAGGGTTTAGTGATTAGTGTTTTGAATTTAGTTTATGGAAGGTTTGGGTTGACGTTGGAGTAAGCATTATCTTCTTCCCTACAATCATATACATTTCAAATTGTAAAAATATATACTATACTATTTCGTTTTTTCACTATTCTATTTTGATACTACTTCATAGTATGTACTGTGTGCATATTTTTTATATATTTTTTTAGGTTTTATATGTTCCTTTAGGGTTTAGTAATTAGTGTTTATGATTTAGTTAATGAAAGGTTTGGATTGACATTAGGATATACATTACATCATTTTCTTCAATCATAGACATTTTAATATTTTGAACAATACGTACTATACTATTTAATATGTTCCATTCTATTTATAATGTCTCTTTTTTCAATCCAAAATAATAACGTCGACAATCACCACAAGCACCACCACAACCATAGTAATCTCTTTTTTCATGTATCCTCTACTGCTTCATTCTCCATAACCACTATTACCATAATTTTCACACCGACGTTGTAACTACCACCACCACATCTTCTGTCGACCAGTGTATATCCTCCATAGATGAACACTACTGATTTTTACCAGTTATAGTTTTGATTTTTTAGGTCCACATGTTTTTTTATCATCGACATCATCACTTTTTTCTCTTTCACCTGCAACTTGTTATGAAAAAGGATAAAACCGGATGAAACTTGAAAAAATTGTCATTGACTTAATAATGTCAAAATCATAGCTATATTCTTCATTTTATCTCTAAAATTGGTTATTTGGCAAATTATCCCTTAATTATATTTATAAGAACATTATTATAAGAAACTTTGTAATTTTTTGGGATGTATTTTCTTATATTGGTTGTAGATAAGCGGACTAATTATATTTTCTCCGCGTTATGCGCAAACAAGTTAATAAATAATTTACATTTAGATTATATTTTTTAGTGACATTTGTGGATTGGTATCACTGTATTTTTAAAATATGAGAGACTTAATGATTACTAAGTGTTTACTATTTAAAAAAAATTAAAATAGCTTAAATGATCATAAATAATGTAAAAATAGATTATTAATTAAACGCATGCGGTATGTGTATTAAAATAGTTTATATTAATTAACCATAAACTAATTACAAATTAATCTATAACTAGATTTCGACCCGCACAACCGTGCGGGTATTTTAATACGAAAATATTTGAAATTATGTAATAAAATTTATCAATAAATAAGTATAATTTGATTTTTTATGCTATCCAATTTCATAATCATTTTTATGTGACTTCTAATATTATTAATATAAAATTTATAAATTTTTATTTTTGTAATAATTTTTAAAAACATTATTATGTAAGATTACTAATTTATATATTTTGTTTTATTTCTAAATTTGAAATCTATGTAAAAATTAATTAAGTTGGACCTACATAATATATAAACAAAATTTTGGGATATTGTTAAAAGTATTTTACATAATTTTAATTTTTTTGTTTATAAATTAAAAATGAATTAAAATTTTAATTATATTTTATGATAATTATATTTTATGATAATTAAAATTTTAATCAAATAATTTTTGAAACTATATCTTGAAAAAGATTCTAAAAGATTTTTAAAAGATTTTATTAGAATTTTCTTAAAACTATTTATTTGTATTTTAAACAAAAATTAAAGATATGAAAAGATATTATAATGTTATGTAAAATTTTATAAAACTCTAAAGATGGTCCAAACTAAAATATCACACATGAAGTGAGTCATGACTTCTCTTTTAATATAATAGATTAACCATAAAGTTTAAATGAATTTCACTGATTTGGTAATTATCATTATCTAAAAAATTATATTAAAAATAAATAAATAAAAAATCATTGATTTGATAATTATTATTGTTTAAAAATAGTTTATGCTGGGTTGTATCTCCCAAATATGTTGTTCCTCATTAAAACTAAACATAAAAACGATTATGTAAAGAGATATTGGGGTGTATTTGGGCTATGATCCGAAGGTCTTAGTGGAGGTTTAACTGTTTTCTGGAAAGATTATGTTTATGTTTCTTGTATTTCAAGTGATGTACGTATGGTTGATCTTCCTGTGCAATATAAAGCTTTTCAGTTCTATTTTTCTATGTATTTATGGCCATCCCAGTCCCCAATATCGTCATCGATTATGGGAGAGATTACATAGAATTTCTATCTCTAGAACTGGTGCTTGGGTGATATTTGGTGATTGCAATGAAATTACCAAGCTAGAAGAGAAAAAGGGTTGTCGTGTTTGTACTTTAAGCAGTCTGTCTAATTTTATTACAATGCTTCAAGTTTGTGGTATGGAAGATCTGCAGTTTAAAGGAAATCAGTTTAGCTGGGTTGGAAGAAGGAGGCAAGAAATTATTGAGTGCTGCCTGGATAGGGTTTTGGTTAATTCAGAATGGAAGAGGAGTAATCCGGTGTCGGAGAATGAGTATTTGGATTTGGTAAAATCGGATCATAGGCTTGTGATAATATCTATTGATTATCAAAACCATGTCCGAAAGGGTTGGTTTACATATGATAAACGGTTGTTTGATGTTGAGGGCTTTGTTGATACTATTTCTGAAGTCTGGTGTGACACGAGATTAATGAGTGGCTGGACTAATAAGCTTGATCATTGTAGGAGGAAGATGATTCAATGGAAACGTGATAATCAAACTAATTCTGCAGTTAATATCAAGAAATTCGGTCTCACGTTGATCAGGTTGTTCGTGATAGCTCTGTTTCCATGGACAATATTCAGGAACTCAAAGTCAAGCTAAATAAAGCGTTTCATAATGAAGAAAAATTCTGGAGGTTGAAAAGCAGAAATAGATAGCTTAATTTAGGGGATTGTAATACTCCGTTTTACCATGGAGTCACTAAATTGAAAAAGAATCAGAATAAGATCAAAGGAATGCTGGATAACAATGAGATCTTTCACTCTAAAGATGAGAGCATTGCTAAGATTGCAGAGGATTATTTCATACAGATGTTTCCTCACTCTGATACAGTTCCATTAAATGAAGTACTTCCTAATATTGCTAAGAAGGTGACAGATGATATGAACATGGAGCTAATCAAAGCGGTTACAGATGAGGAAATCAAAAATGCATTATTTCTTATTGGCTTTGATCGGGCACCGGGTTCTGATGGTTTTACTGCCTCTTTTTACCATCAGTTCTGGGATGTTATAAAGACTGATGTTTGTGATATGGTGCATAGGTTCTTTGATACGGGAGAGTTGGAACCTAACATTAATCATACCAATATATGCTTGATTCCAAAGTTTGTTGATGCAATTAATATGAGTAATTTTAGGCCTATTAGTTTGTGCTATTTTGCTTATAAGCTGATATCTAAAATATTGTGTATGAGGCTACAAGGTTGTTTAGAGGTGATAATCTCAGATTTTCAAGCAGTATTCGTCCCTAGACAACATATTGGTTGCTCATGAGCTTATACATGCTTTGAAATAAAAAAAGGATTGTGATGAGCAATATATGGCTATTAAAACTGATATTTGTTAGGCATATGATCGTGTTTAGTGGGATTTTTTTGGAATCTGTTATGGAAATACTGGGTTTTGATACGAAATGGATCAAGATGATCATGAATTGTGTTTGATCAGTTACTTACTTAGTGGTGATTAATGGTATCCCATATAGAAGTTTCAAACCAACCAGAGGTATAAGGCAAGGTGATGCTATGTCTCCCTATTTGTTCCTTTTTGTGTGCTGAGGTATTGAGTCAGATATTTTAAATGCTCTACAGTCAAAGGTTTTTGAAGGGATGAAGCTTGCAAGAAACTGTCCTATAGTAAGTCATCTTCTTTTTTTGCTGATGATTCTTTATTTTTCTGCAATGCAACTGTCGGTGATGATCAATGTATGGCTGAGATTCTTAAGAGGTATGAAGAAGTTTCAGGGCAGAAAGTTACTCTTGAGAAATCTTCAGTTACGTTTTGATCTAGAAATCTGGAGAATTTACTGTAGGCGGTGATATACTCGTCTTGCTAAGGCCCACTGAATAATAGGTCCGGCCTACACGTGCTCCGGCCCAGCGAGGTAACACTCCGTTGGTTAACAATTAATCAGGCCCAACTCGGTTAATCGCGGACTCGGATAATCCCCGCGATTAACCGAGTTAAGGACGCATAGGCGAGGCGCTTACCTTAGCGGGTCGACCAAGACCCATTTGGCGAAAAGCCCTCCGTACACGCGACCAGCTCGCTAGGTCAAGGAAGTGCCACTATAAAATAAGGATAAAGGGCAACATGAGAGGGGATCCGAAGTGACTTTCACACACAAGGCGGTTAGAACTAGGGTTTTCACTCTCGTATTTCCTTCCGACTTGTACGACACGGTTGAGCTCTTCGAGCTACGCCGTCTCACCTCTTATTTCCTTATTTGTAAACCGAACTATTTCATCAATAAAACTACTCTTTTGCCACTTATAGCATAACCGCCTTTGTCATAACCCACCAACGAGTTCCGTCATCCTTCTTACTGATATCAGACCGTACTCAGTTCGAACACGCGGCACCGTGTAACCCCACTCAAAACTAATATGTTCTTCATGCATGTGATCCAGTAAAAACTGATTTTGTACCTCGAATATAAACACCTTGAAGAAAAACAAAAGTTATTGGACCGTATTGAATTTTATTTTTTTAATTACAAAAAATTGAGATTTCGACATGCAAAAAAGAAAGTGATAAACAAGATAGTGAAAATTTCAGTCCGGATCCGGATAGTGAAATTTTCAGTCTGGATATCCGGATCCGGATCCGGGCTCACTAAATATTTAAAAATATTTAAAATATAATTATATTTATATAGGTATATTTTTTATTTTTTATTTAATATAACTAATACTTAATTTTGTTAATAAATTCTATTATTTTAATTTAACTTTTTTCAAAATAATATTTTTTAATAGAAGAAATAAATACTAAATTTTGAATTTTTTTTTTTATTTTTTTTTTTAAATAAACCGGATTCAGATACCTATGGGTATTCGAATTTTAGTCCGAATATCCAGATGGCCTGGATCCGGATAGTAATTTTACGGATCCGCTGAATCCGGATATCCAATCTGCACCTCTACATGCATGTAATCTTTACGCAACTCCTCCACTTTGTAATGTTAAAACAAGAAGGTATAGGGGCATCATAGTATTTTCTCGCTGCAGGAGTTGGGCCTAGTGTTTGACCACCTGTTTTTCCATTTGCGCAAATTAGTGAATCTTTCTATATTTTTTGTGCAAATCGCTTAAATAATAATCAAACTTAAACTTAAGTTGCTCAAAAAACTTAAGTTGCTCAAAACAAAAAAGAAAAAGAAAACAATAATTCAAAAAAATCTTAACCACAAGACCTCAATAATTGCACCCTCAACGCGAAGCATTATCTCTTCCATTATTGCTTCTCTGTAAAAATCTCTCCAACCCCATCGACCATGGCGGCCTCCTCCTCTTCCTCCTTGCAGTCCCCGCCGCACAACCAAGTCTTCCTCAATTTTCGAGGGGAACTGCGGAAGACTTTCGTCAGCCATCTGGACGAGGCATTGAAAAGAGATGGAATCAATGTCTTCATCGACGAAAACGTTAATAAAGGTGAATCACCACCTTATGTGATGATATCGCCACCCTCTTTGACAGAATCGAGGAGTCAAAGATCGCGCTCGCTATCTTCTCAACCCATTATACCCAGTCACATTGGTGCTTGGACGAGCTGGTCAAGATCATAGAGTGCGTTGGCTTAGGCAAACTTGTGGTCATCCCGATCTTTTACCAGGTAGACGTGGACGATGTGAAAAAACTCAGGGGAGTGTTCGGTGACAAGTTTTTTGAATTGGAAGAGAATTATAAAGGTCAAATGACGGATAAGTGGAGAGAAGCTTTAAGAGTCGTTACACACAAGGTCGGCTTCGTTTTAAATGAAACCAGGTACCTTTAGTTTTAGCGGTGATATTAGTTACTAAATCTTCATGATTAAGAAATTCAAACAAAATCAAGTATTTATTGGATTAATGTTTCTTTCTTATTCGTTTAGTAAATTTTAAATATTTGTTGAAATCAAGTTTTATCCGATCATCATATTAGATATAACGGATATTAGGTTGCGCATCTATACTATTATTTGCGAGTATATTTGCGAAGTGATTTTTCGCAACGAAGCTCTCACGTTAAAAGTTGGAGTGGTTAATATCGTTTATACCCTTAATGAATAATTAAAAAATTTCAATATATAATTAACTATAAATAAAAACAAATTTCAGTGGTTTAAGATTTATCCTTATCTAAAAATATTTTCTAATGTTTTAAATAGTCTTTATTAATCTTGAAAATAGTTTTATTTGTTAATATATAATTAATTATAAATTAAAAACGAATTTCATTAATTTTATAATTATCCTTATCTAATTTCTTTATATTGTGTTATAAAATCTTTATCAACATTGAAAACTAATTATATTTGTTAATCTATAATTTATCATTAATTAAAAAAAACTAATTCATTTGATAATTATAGATAAAAAATAATTTATATTGTGTTATCCAAAAAATTAATTTTCATCTTATTTTAAAAATAAAACTAAAAAAAAAATTCCTACATATTATTTTCTATGTATTTTTTTGTATACCAGAGTATTTCAAATTTATTTACGCAATAAAAGATAATTTTATTATACTCAAATTTGGTTCATATCTTAAAATTTGTTATTAATTTATTACTAACTATTTTAACTTATAAGTGTTTTTAAATTTAATTTATGTAATGGCAATTATTATATTATGATGAAAAACATAATATATAAAAAGCATTATTATTAAATATCTTGAATATATAAACAATAACTTATTTTAATGTTACTTAAATTGATTACATATTTATTTATAGATATTTGTAAAATCATTAAGCCCGCATGTGCGGGCAAAAACACCTAGTTTTAATAAACCGACATGTTAAATTTAGAAATCAGTAAATTTTACTTTCTTTTGTAAATCTTAATATAGATATTTATAAATCAATTTAAACATAAACATATAACGTACAAAATCTACATATTTACAAATACTAACTAGAATCTATTTGTTAGATTTAGAAATCATTAAACTTTAAAAGAATTTCTAAATCAATTAAAATACATAAACAAATATTATATGGACTTGTATATCTTTGTTTGGCTATCAGGGTTCCTGATTGCTTCTCTCCACATGTCTATCAGGAAAGAAAGTGAATCTATCATTGAGATTGTAAAAGAAGTGATCAAAACGCTATCAGTAAATGAAGAAACAGCTAAATCTGCTTCATACTCGGCTCTTCCTCCCTTTGGCATAGATACACGTCTTAAGCAATTGGAAGAGACGTTAGATTCTTACACCGACCATACTCTTAAGCTTGGTATCGTCGGAATGCCGGGTATTGGTAAGACCACCTTGACAAAAATGCTGTATGAAAAGCGTGAAGGCAAGTTTGTGCGCCACGCTTTTCTTGTAGATGTGCGTGATTTGAGTAGAAGCGGCAAGATGAATGAGAGCTATCTCGCGAAGGAGTTGTTGAGGAAGAAAGGTGTGAGTCAAGAAGTCGATTACATCCCATCGTCACCTAAGTCCTTAAACACACACCTAGTCCACAACAAGTCACTTGTTGTTCTTGATAACGTAACCGACAAGAAACAGATAAAGAATCTTCTTAACAATGGCGACTGGATTAAGGAAGGTAGCTTAATCATTATCACGACAAGTGATAGGTCGGTGATCGAAGGGGAGGTTGATGAAATATATGAAGTTCTTAGATTAAGTGGCAGAGACAGCTTGCAGTGCTTCAGCTACTATGCCTTTGGTTGCAATCCAGTGGGAAATTTCATGAAGCTTTGCAGAGAATTTTCGGATTATGCCAAAGGCAACCCATTAGCTCTCAAGATATTGGGTGGAGAGCTTAATGGAAAAGGCAACCGTCACTGGGAAGATACACTTCGCAAGCTGGAGAAAAATCCCAATAAGACGATACAGGGTGTCTTGAAGATAAGCTATGATGACCTAAGTCTGGATCAAAAAGATGTGTTTCTTGATGTTGCGTGTTTCTTTAGATCAGGGGATAAGTACTACGTGAGGTGTTTGGTGGAGTCTGATCTGAAGAATCTTGCCAGTAAATTTTTGATTAACATTTCTGGTGGACGCGTGGAAATGCACGATTTGCTGTATACATTTGGCAAGGAACTTGCTTCTCAAGAATCGCGTAGGCTGCTGAACCATAAAGCCTTTGTTGATGCTCTGAAGGAAAAAACGGTAAGATAAATCTTAAATTCTTATTTTCACATAGCATTGGGCTGTTTAAGAAACACTTACTAACTTGTTGTTTTTAACTGGTCAGGGAGACGAAAGTGTGAGGGGAATTTTTCTTGACATGTCTGAAATGGAGAAGCAACTTCCTTTGGACATGTGTACCTTCAGTAAGATGCGTAATCTTAGATATCTGAAAATCTATAGTTCTCACTGTCATCGGGAATGCAAAGCTGACTGCAAACTTAATTTCCCTGATGGACTTGAGCTTTCATTAGATGAGATACGGTATCTCTACTGGCTGAAATTTTCTTTCAAGAACCTTCCAGAAGACTTCAACCCCAAGAATCTTATCGACCTTAACCTACCTTACAGCAAGATTGAAGAGGTTTGGGATGGTGTTAAGGTGTGTCTGTGTTTAAGTTATTTTTCACTGTTACAATTTCATTTATTAGGGACAAAATTTCACATCTGATCGGAAGTTGAAAAGGATCTTAGTTTTTTGCATATAGATTAATAAAATATCTTATTTTATATATTTTATTTTATAAGTATAAGAGATAGGTTAATCTATTTATCATTAATTTATTTTAGGTTAAAATTTAATTTAAGGGTCTGACGGGTTCTCCCACCATCACTCGCAAACACAGTTTTTGCGGTTGGTAGCGGTTGTTAGCGTTTTGCAACAATCACAGAAAACGCTATAAATTGCTTCAAATCGTTCTAAATCTCTAAAATTCAAAAGCTGGTTCCAGCTAGCGTTTGGTTGCGGGTGATTGCGGGAGGATAAAAAAAAATATTTTTTTTCAAAAAACTATATAAATATAAAAATAAAATATTCAATTAAAATAATTAAAATACTGAAATATTTATATTATAAAATTTCCAAAAAATATTTTCTTTAATTTTTAAAATTTAACAGTGCAGTTTTTTTAATAAAAAATTTATATTTATCATAAAAATAAGATTTTAATATTTGATAATTATATAAAATAGAAATATTGTTAATTTATTACTTAACTACTGCTGAATTTGATGATAAACCAGTCATAAGTATCCTGCAAACGCAACATTTTTTAATTTTTAAAATTTAATAGTGCAGTTTTTTTAATAAAAATTTTATATTTATCATAAAAATAAGATTTTAATATTTTGATAATTATATAAAATAGAAATATTGTTAATTTATTACTTAACTACTGTTGTATTTGATGTTAAACCAGTCATAAGTATCATCCAAACGCAACATTTTTTAACCCTTGAACGAGTCGTATAAATCTCTCACTAACGCTTAAAACCGTAATCTCCCGCATCCGCAAACGCTCGCAACCGCAACCATAATCGATGCGTTGTAACTAGTCAGGCCCTTAGTATAATAAGACTTCTTAACTTTTTGTGACTGTTCATTGCAGGAAACACCGAAGCTTAAGTGGGTTGATCTTAGCTACTCAAGAAGGTTATGCAGTCTTTCAGGGTTACAAAATGCCGAAAGACTCGAAAAGTTGAATCTTGAAGGTTGCACGAGTTTGCAGGAGTTTCCCAAGGAGATGAAACGTATGAAGCGTCTTGCTTTCCTCAACATGAGAGGATGCACGAGCCTCAGGGTTCTCCCAAATATCAATCTGATCTCTCTGAAAACTCTTATCCTCACCAACTGCTCAAGTCTTGAGGAATTCCAGGTGATTTCGGATAATCTTGAAACTCTAAACTTAGATGGAACAGCCATTAGCCAACTTCCTGAAGACATGGTGAGGCTCCAGAGATTGATTGTCTTGAACTTGAAAGACTGCACAAAGTTGGTGGCAGTTCCAGAATGCCTAGGGAAGCTAAAATCTCTGCAAGAACTGGTGCTATCTGGTTGTTCAAAGCTCAAGACGTTTCCAATCATGAAATGCTTGCAGAGATTGTTGCTCGACGGGACATCAATTACAGACATGACAAAGATATTGCAGTTGAATAAGTCACAAGTGGAAGACGTACGTGAATTAAGACGTGGTACGAACCGCATATCCTCATTGCAGCGTCTATGCTTAAGCAGGAATGATGTGATCACCGACCTGCCTATCGACATCAGTCTACTATGTCATCTGAAATTGCTTGACCTGAAGTACTGCAAGAATCTCACTTCCATTCCACTGCTTCCGCCAAATCTAGAGCTCTTAGATGCACATGGCTGTGGCAAACTGAAGACAGTCGCAACGCCGGTGGGCATTCTTAAACATGTGGAGAAAGTTCACTCTAAATTCATTTTCACCAACTGCAACAGTCTTGAACAATCTGCAAAGAATAGCATCACAACGTATGCTCAAAGGAAAAGCCAGTTAGATGCGCTTAGATGCTATAAAGAGGTCTCATTCCTCACTTTTCTTAATTTATTATCTAATTAAATATCTTTTAACAGTTTATGATTATTGTTTTTTTTTTTTTTTTTTTCCTGTGTTACTTTTTTCAGGGGCATGCTTCAGAACCTTTATTCATTACTTCCTTTCCAGGGAGTGAAGTGCCTTCATGGTTTGACCATCGCATGATTGGTTCAACGTTAAAGCTGAAGTTGCCACCACATTGGTGTGACAACAGACTTTCAACAATAGTTCTATGCGCTGTTGTTGCATTCCCTCACGTTCAAAGCAACAGTTTCTCAATAGAATGCACCTGTGAGTTCACAAACGAACTTGGAACACGTACACGTTTCAGCTGCATTCTTGGTGGAGGTTGGATCGAACCGCGCAAGGTTGACTCGGACCATGTGTTTATCGGTTACACCAATTTCTCCCATATAACAACAAATCATGTAGAAGGTTCGCAACGACATCAGAAATGTGTTCCTACGGAGGCGACAATCAAATTTCAGGTGATAGATGGAGAAGGCGAGATAGTGAATTGTGGTTTAAGCTTGGAGTACGAGGAACCAACACAGGTTCTAGTAAACACGCGAAAACGAAAGAGAGATATGATGAACTAATAGTGTGTAACCGTGAAGCGCGGGATGTGATCTTTGTGTTGTGTTGTGTTGTCTCATGTTAATTTATATGAATAATACTGATTTTATTGTTTGATTTTGTGGTAGAGGTCTGTTCTCGGTTGTTGTAGAAGTCAAGTGTCATTCATTTTTTAATAATGGTGTTCGTACAAAACATTGTTTGAATGTCCTCATGATGTGATTTTATTTGACCAGTGATTTTGTCAACAGTGAGTGTTTTGGAAGGAAGTTCAATTTCTGGTGGTGGTACATAATACACATTTCTTAGGAAGATAATTTATTGCTGAATTTGGAAGTAAAGAAAGTAATGGTGAAATCATATTCTGCACAACTCTCTCTAAAGTAATGTAAGCATACTACTGAAGTCATCTGAAACTGGCGTTTGCGCTGAATTACTAGTACGATCCAAAAACACACACACAGTGGAAGCCACGTTGGATAAAAAGATCACTGAAATGAGGCATTGGGCCACAAGCACCAAAGTAAACAGACCTCTGTTGCAGAGCAACAACATAGCCACTTTGCTTGAAGAAGGGGTTGAAGATTCATATTCTACTTCACTATGAGACAAATTTGTTGATCATCGAGTAGATAACTTGATCAATGGTCATGAGATGGATGAAACATCACGCAATAGCTTGTTGGAACAGCTAAAGTTGGAGAAAGATAACATTTCATCAGAATTATCAAGATGCTTGAAGAATCTTCAAACTACTAAGGAAGCGTTGGAAGAAAAAGAGCAGGCTCATATCAGAGAAGGTCTCCAAAGCTTGGCAGAAACTCAGCTGAAATGTGTGACTGTGTCATACAAATCGCTAGAACTCAGTGCCAAGGATCTAGAAGCTAAACTGAAAAGCTTGGAAGAAGAGAATGAGACTGAAAATGTTTGTATAGTTTGTTGATGCTAATATTTTTTACTTATACTGAAGGAATGAGACTTGCAGAAAATTTTTAGCATTCAAATTCTAACTTCACAAAAGTCTTTTTTCTCTCTTTGACTGATCCTAAGAAGCTAAAAACTTCATACATATCGGAGGTTTAACACCAGCCAGTGCAAGTATCGCCGCCGGTAAAGTCCAAAGCCCTTCGCCGCAAATCAGCCCCGAGGCAACCGCCGGAACCATAACCTCTGCTTTCCTCCTATTCCTCTTCTCCCAAATAAACACAACCAAACTCCCAACACACATATCAATCGCAAAATACGCTCCGACCAGAAACGGAACCGCCATCGCCGTCGGAAGCGGCATGAACCTCCCAACCTTCTCCGGACTAACATCCCTAACCACGTTAACCAAAACCGCAAACCCGAAAAACCCGTAGCACATCTGGAGACAATGAAGAGGCAGAGCAGAGAAGCCTTGCACCCCAAGTATCGCCATGTTTCTGTATATCAAAGCGTAAGGAGCCTTGAACTCGCCGTTAGGGTTTCCAATATCAAACGCTCTGTAGAATAAGAAGAAACTCAACGGCGTCACGATGCATCCAACGATGGTTCCTATCATCTGGCTAGCGAACATAGCCTTTGGTGACGTCATCGTGTAATGAGCCGTCTTGAAATCTTGCATCAGAATGCAAGAAACCGAAACTACCGATTTGATCAGTCCACATCCGGCTAGTCCGGCCACAACTCCGTTCTCTTTTCCCGTCACGGCCGCGAGAACAAACAGACCGATCTTACCGTAGTTATAAGCCATGTTAATGTCTGTAAGTCCAGCTCCATAGGCGTTACAGAAAGCAAGACACGGTGCGAAGATGTAAGCTACGATAACGTAATACCATTTGAGCTGTGGGAATATCAGAGGGACCACGATGGTTGAGACCGCGGCGAAGATTAGATATCCAGAGATTCCTATCCACGTGGGGATTTTATCTCTGAGGAAATTCTCATCTTCTTTGCGAAATTTTCGTTGTTGCTTGTCTCCCACGGCATCAAGATCATTAGGTTTGTTTTTTACTCTTGCGTTGATACTGATGATGGTGACATAGATGATTTTAACGAAAGTGTAGAGACCATCACCGAGGATTAGAGCAACGGATAAGAAGACTTTGTAACCGTATATGCTCTTCATGTTGTGCTCGTCCAGATTATTAGGGAACCAAGAGCCTTTGAGTTTATCAAGAAGAGGCCACATTAAGCCATAAGAGAGAATAGCTCCTAAAAGCAAAGAGAGGTTAACCATATGTGAACATATCATTCCTGCTCCCACAAATGTCATGCTAAAATCAAAGAAGAACCTGCGAAAAAAAGTTTGGTAAGTTTGCTTAGCCATAATCCATACGAGAAAATATCTTTTATTAGTATATATTATTTGATGGTTACGTTTGTTTCCAAGCTTTCAAACCAAAGGTTGGGAACTGAGCAAACCCACAACCTTCTATGCCAGAGAAAAACCACTGGAAAAATCCCCACAAGAAACTAAATGAAAAGTATTTCATGAAACCGCGCACTTGTTTCCTGCATATTCATTTCATTTTAAAGATTAGAACACTTATAATTACTTGATGCAAAGTAGGTTAACTAACTTACTTGGCTTGTGCATCTCCTTGTGTGTGGAAGCCATTTATCAGCACAGCAGTAGCTAGACCACTCGGATATGTTAGCTTAAGGTCAATAATCATAACCTTGCGGAGAGGGATTAAGACGAAAAGACCGATAAAACACACTGCAAAGAGATAAGCAGTCATCCAGCCAAGGCCTGGTTCTTTCACACTCTTCTCAGAGTTACCTTCCATGTTTGGACCAGATAACACATATGTCTTATGGTTTAACCCCAGAAGATATGAAGCAAACCCACCTGAAAAAAATTAAACACACAAAAGAAAACCTTTTGATTAAAATTTAACAAGTTGATTATATATTCTATACACTCCCAAAAGCAAAAGCAGCATCAACCCTTTTACTGTGACTTACCAAACCCAAATCTTTTTCATAAAGGTTATATTTTAAAAACTGTTATACATATCCCTTCATGGAATCTTTGATTGTTTCACAAGGAGACAAAAAGAAAAAGGAAAAAAAAAAGAGAGAGAAGAAAGTTATGTTCTTAACCTCCAACGGCAATGCCGTAACAAGCAACAGCAGATGTCTGAATCATTGTGTTCTCTTGTCTTGTGAATGGCTTCGAGACAAAACCTGATTTCTTGAGAATCTTAGTCCATGTCTGGACGAAGACAAAAGCCAGTAAAGCTGCAGAGCTGTTGAGGTTGGGAACAATCCCTGTCGTAAGATTTAGCTTCTGAGCTATCACACTGAACACAACTCCAATCACTATGCTCACTAAAACTCCTCTCACCGTTATCTGCTTCCTCCACGGTTCGATCGTCCTCGCAGACATCTCTTCCTCTGTTTCTTGTTCTTCTTCATGTAGTGACAGTTGATTATCATTCTCTCTCTTCATGATCTTTCTCTGCTCTGTTTCCACGGAAATCTCTGAAGAAAAAGAAAAAGGAATTGAGCTATGCAAATGAAAATTCTTTTTACGTTGGATCTACATGTGATACTTATATACTTAAATTCTTTTTTTATAAGAAGTGATGTTCTCACTATTCTAGATTAAAACTAAATGTTATTTTAAATTTGTTGACCAGTTACAAAATACTGTATGTTTATTAGGTTAATTAATATTACTTAATGTTATTTTTATGTAACTCTACATAAAAATTGTATTTTTCTTAATCTTTGTGAAAAAATTTTAAACACCACTTCAAATGATACAAAGGGAGTATACCATAAAAAGGATGTGAATGACATCTTCATCTAAAATTTACAATATATAATTAAATTTATTTATTAGCGAAATTTTTATTTTCAACACAATATTTATAGCCAACAAACTAAAAACAGATTTGAGAAATTGTTGTAGCGGAAATTTTCAACAAAAATTTCCAAAAACCCAAAATCTTAAACACTATATTTGCACCAAATATTCATAAAACTCTATTCAGATTTAAACTAAATATGCTTTTATAGAAACCAAATATATAAATTTAACAAACAAAATCCTTGAAAGGAGGTTCTTAAAAACAAAATAATAATAGTTAACTTTAATATTTAAATTTAAATTTAAATAAAACAGTTGAATTATTTAGATAGGGACATGTGGAACAACATGCAAGCAAAATATGACACGTGGAGACAAAAATTTAGTAGCAATCCTTAATTTAGCCTTTTTGTGAACGGTACTACAATTATTTAGCTTTTTTATATATTTATTTTTTCACTTTTGTTAGTACCTTGTGTCAAGTACTCCCGATGGAGTTGCTCTTAGATCTAAACATGAAGGATCATATTTAACACAAACTGAAAACTACCACAAATTGTATAATTCATTTTTAATTATACACTAGAAAATCTGATTCAATATTAATCTAATCTTTCACACAAAATAAATCAAAAAAATATTTATAAAACATAAAATAAAGCCGAGTTCTCTTTAACACAGCCATAGATCCAAACCTAAACTAAATAGGGTACTTTGATATTGATTTTTAAAACTTTTTTTTTAGTTTATGATTATATCCATATTGGTGTCTGGATGAACATACATAAGAAGAAGTATACCTGATGAATTCATTTTGAAGTTACAAATCCAGATCGTCCGAACCAAAATATATATGATTATATGTCTCTATTGATAGAGATAGAAAACAGAATTCTTTACTATGGTTGCTTTGGAACCATAAATCTTTTTTATAGAGTATTAAATTTTAATTGGACCTTCATCAAACTAAAAAAAATCAAAGATATTTACTTTTTTTTTTGTTTTCAAAGATATTTATTTTCATTACATATATGTAAATAATCTATTTATTGACTAAAAAGACCATTCTACATATATTAATTAATTAATTGCTCTATCACAGTCAACCTTTACATATATGACTCTGATTATCTTACTATGTATATATAGTTTCACTGGAGTGATGATTGACCGTGGCTTTAAAATTTAGCTTTTGAAGTATAGTTGAGGGTAACTCGGTTGTAAATAAAAAATTATTATTGTAGACTTTTATTTTGTAGATGTTTTTGTTGTAGTTAATTTGTTGTAACTATAAACTATATGCTGTAAATATTTTAAATTAAAATATGAGAAATATGTGATGTATATATAAAATAATTACTAGGTGATTTTCCCGTGCTCATGCACGGGTATGAATATTCATAAAAGTACAATTTTATAATAATTAATTAATATTTGTTTTAATTTTGAATAAATTTATATGTATAATTTATATTAATAAATATTATATTATTCTAATTATACATATGATTTTAGATATATTATTATCGGTTTAATTATTTTTTGGATCAATAGTCGGTTTGATTATCAATTTTTTGGTATATTGGATAATATCTGTTTTTCGAATTCAGCTATAGTATTTATTATTCTAAATATAATAAAACTTTGATTAATTTTCTTATTTTCATTTCGGTTGGTTATTGTCTGAGATATGTAAATATATTCTTAGATATATAAATATATTATAGTTAAATTATGTATAACTTAATATATATTGTGCTTAAAATTAAATAAATAATAAGCTGAAGTGTTTGATTCAAAATTACATAAATGAATATAATGATAATATTTTGAAGTCTCATGCATATATATAAATTCTACAAAAGAATTAAATTGTAATTGGTTAATATTTTCTTTTTCTTTTAATATGCTTTGAGTCAACCTCTAATTAATATGTATAAAATTAAATAGCTTATTATTATTATTATAAAATTATATGTTCTTATTATAGTTAGATGTTTAATTTTGGATATAAATTAGATTGGTCGAGCTATTCATTTTGTGAGTATATTGAGTTAAAGATATTTTTAAATTAAAATTGAAGTATAATTATTTTTTATTTTATTTTAGTCAAATCAAATTAGTTTTATCTATCACTTAAA